TCCTTGATGACTGCTCATCATCTTTGATGCATCGGTGATTCAAATCAAATGAAACTGCCACAGGATAATGATGAAAAACAAAACATGGAAAAACTGAAGGCTGCGTGTGATTGGAGAGAATTCCATGAGTCATGTTGAAGTGGAGCAATGAGGTGAAAGGAGAGGATTTCTGTTTTCCCGAGTTACCAGGATGATGAATGTGATGATTATATGCAACTAAAAGAAAGCAAAAGAAATGCTGGCCTTTATAAAAGGAACATGATGAGAAACTATGACAAAATCCACTCCAAGTGCAAGTGTACTAGTAAAGTAATGAATACTCTATAAATAATATACAATTATATTTCAACAGCCACAGTTAGTATCAATATTATCCTTATTTCACATTTGCTATTTATCTCACTCACATTAAGTTTAACTGCGGGGGAAAGTGAGACCTAGATTGAACGCAAAATGGCATTGAGATTTCCACCGCTGTCTGCAGACATCGCATGACTTGATTTGTTTAGTCAGCCACTGGAGCTCTGACCTGTTCATTATACACCGGTATGCATAATGTCAAATAAGCTATTCAGAGCGTCACTAACACAGTGGAGTGAGACAAGAGCGACTGATACAGCTTGAAGATATACTCATACTGCCCTTGACTTTAATAGTGTAGTTTGAACTAAAATATAGATTTTTTACTTCTGATATATTCATTTATAAGATTATTTCATTTATAAATAGACCCCAGCACTAACTAAGAGTTGCAACAAATTTTCTTTTAACTGATTTGTTGATTGACAGAACACTAATTAGCATTTCATTTATTATTATGAAATATTTTCTCGAAAAACATGTTCAAGGTTGTTTTAAGGTTCCAGCTTCTCCAATGGGTGAAATTCCTGCTTTTCTCTATTGTATCTTGTTGAAGGAATATGAATCAATCTCTAAGACTGTTGCTCTGATAAAACAAAATATGAATTAGGCTTTTAACCCCGTTTCCTTATATTGTTAAGCCACATGTTCACTAATGTATATACTATATGGTGCTATACTGTATATTAGGGGGGAGTGATAAAGATATTATCATATTATATGGTATTTAAAAAATGAAATGTTGATAAGATGCTATGTGCAATAGCAAGTTATATTTTCTAGAAAAATCTAAAGTTTGAGTGGATAGAAATAACATTAATGTAAAAATAAAATGTTATGCTATTTCAGTGGTAACTCATACGTTAGGTATAGGACAATATTTGACTTTTTTCGTAATAATGAACTTGCTATCCAATGTGCAAATATACCATACTATATGCCATGTTTCTTAAGCACTTCAAACTTTGTTTGGCAATTGTATTGCCGACATACTGTATACACTGATAATGATTTATCGGCAACAAGCTAATTGCAAGCCCTTATATCAGCCTGGCCATTTAATCGTTTCATATTAAATATTAAATTACCCACATGGAACATGCCTCTTGTATGAAACTAACTTATCTTGTAAATCTGTCACCTAGTTATCAGTTACCAATGCAGATGAACAAGTTTCTCTGAAGGCCTGAGGGTGTGGTACATCAATCATCATCATCATCATGCATTGCGACTTCATCAACAGTTACATCTTTGTAGTACAGGGTAAAATTAGGTAAACCCATAGATTTGTTCAAACGTTTGAAACATGCCTTGGCAGATCTACTGCAAATATAGATAGATATACATTCTCCCTACGGTTGGGATTATTTTTAAAAGAGAGCTTGTGAGTTAATAAATTAGAGAATGCATTCTTAGTTAGTAGTACAGTGTTCTTACACGAAAGGATAACACTGTCATGTCTCAGAGGCACACTTTATGGATTTCATGCATCCATAAAGAAAGGCTGCAGTCTTCTGCTGTCCTTAAGTGAATTTCACCAACAGAAATACATGCATTATACTAAGTTCAAACATTTACGTGGACACCCAGTTATGCTTTAAAGTGAGTGTAGGCTCTTCACGGCCCTTCTGGTGAGAAGCTGACTACAGAGTCACCACGCATGCAGCCTGGCCTCCAGCCATCTGTCCACATGGAGCTGAAAAATCTACTGCGCCACAGGCAGCGAGGACAGGCCAACAACACAGACGCTTGTAAAGGACTCATTTTCTCAGCATAAAATGTGGGCTTAGGCATTTTATGATTTAAGTTATGTTCACCTAAATTCTATCTGTCCTTAATGAAGCTGAAAAGCTCACTTCGCTAAGTAGAAACATCTGCTACGAAGATTATGAAGCACTGAGACGGCACTGTTCTGAAAAGTCAAATACACCACAAGGCTCTACAGTTAAAGACGGCTCACTGTATTTATCAGAAAATATAAGATGCAGGCAATTCAACGCCTCAAATACTTTAAAATGCTACCTTAAGTCTCTGCAACCACAATGTTATATGTAAACATTGTGTCTGGAACAAAGAAATACAATCTGACAAACCTGCAAAGTCAGCACAAGTTGAAAATAACACAATACTTTTTACTCCGAAGTTAGTATGTAGGCCAGAAAGTGGTTAGTAACTAAGCCTCGTACTTTATATATATAGATATAAAAGCATAAAACCACTAACCTCTCCATAACTAACTCTATTTTGCCTTAACGTGAAAATATGCAGGCAACAGGCAGTGGCCTCCATTGTAAACACAGCAATGACAAATCCAATCAAATACTTATCCCATCCGAGAGATTAATGAGTAACCGCTTTTATTTGGCTGGCGATGACGTAATGCGAATTAAGTGGTACCTACATTACATCTATTTCATTTGCAAGTCTGACTTTCATTCTATCAATTGGAATTTTGATATTATAAAAAAGTCTTAAGATATAAATATTGTTCCTGAAGACAAGTCAACAAGTCGGTGATGTTTTTCCAACTCCAGTAAGCAATTGGTCACATCCAGGAAAGAGCTTTCGAAAAAGTATATTACAACTGACTAACTATATTTGTATAAATAGCCTGACTTATCTTCCTGGAAAGTTAAGACAATCATACTTTTGTCAACTATCAGATTTTGTTTTTTCCCTTGGGTACCAGTCCCAGCCCAGCTTGTGCAGCTTTTCCAGAGGAGTAACGTTTAAGCTGTCCATAGATCCGTACTCTGCTGCTATTTCCATCAAATAACACCATTTCAGTTTAACTGGGTTGCTGAAGGACGTGTAACAAAAATAACCACAGCTGTACTCCGGTCTCGTGGAACTTGAAGTTAGCTGATGTTTTATACAGCCACTCCGAGAAACGACACTTGGCATTTTAGGAAGTCTTCACTTATTTTGGAAGAAACAAGCTCTGAGAGTCATTTGGAGCATTTTAAGACTTTTAAAAGAAGAATGAAGGCTTTGCCACAAGTCGTGCTTCACATTGATAAAGCAGTATAATTTACATTTAGGTTGCATAATGCTGGATTCAGTAATTACAGAAGAGAAAATGGGTCTCCACACAGTTGAGTGGCTTGTCTTATTATGCAAGTGGCACAATTTCAATAAACTGATGCATGCCAAATCCTCAAACCAGGGAGGCACGCACATCATGTCAGGCCTTCAGCTGTGTTGGCCTCCTATAGTCTGCAGTCAATGTAAAGGCACTGTTATACTGACTAACGTACCAATGGTGGTACACACATGGAGTACATTGCAAAGTGTGGCTTCTTTACTGTGTTAAGGTCCTGCAGTACAACTTGTTAGCACCATTTAACACATTAAGCATTTAACTACACAAAGTAAATCGGAGGTTACAATTCTGAAAAAGTTGACAGCTTTTATAGATACTAGCTAGTTAAAGTCCTCTTAAACGTGTTTTCAAGTCATATAGAAACAACACAAAAACAACTCCAAAGCTATAAATAATAAAAGTTAATGTTTCAGTAAGTCAACTGTCCAACTGTCGACAAGCACCGGACAACATGCTGCACGACGAGCACACGATACATTTACATACATACATACTTTTTTATCGAAATGTGTACTGCTGCGCAAAAGAAATTAAATGAACACAAAAATAAATCCCGAGTTGTAACATTTAAACCAGGGCACGAGTCAACATCGTGAAGCTGCGTGTGCACACTTGCAGCGCTTCCACCATTTTCCAGTACAGTGGCCGTACTGGAAATCTGCAATAACTTGGAAAAACTCACCCGCAGATATTTCTTGACTCTTCTCACTTTAGGTTGCGGAGCTTTAAACTCTCCCAAGTAGAAGACAAGAGTCCGTGTGGCGCTTTATTTCGGACGATAGCTTCTCAGTGTGCAGTAAACATCAGGTATACCTTCGGTTCACTTACTGCTTCGCTTCTTTCTCTCGCTCTTTCTTTCTTCTCCCGTTCATGACTCCCTGCTCCCCTACACAGCCATTTTCCAGCTCAGCACGGCGCAGGGAAGGAGAGTGTGTGGGAACTAATATGAGGAGGGCGGAAAGGGACGATGCCGAGCGGAAAATCCCGAACGATCAGTGAGGGGTCACCGGATTGACTCGGCCCATAATGGTAATTTGAACCCATTTCAACTGCAAGGTTGCTTTCCCCCTACTGTATACTTTAAATTCTTTTTTATTTAAAAATAATCCTGTCCTTATGAAAAAGACTATATATGTGAAATGTGTGTCTTTTCCCATGTTTGAACATCCTCAAATGTTCACTTCAAGTCACTTTTTACAAACAATATCTTACGTTTTTTCAAAGTTTAAAGATGATTCATACTGTACATGTGACTGGTTTGGATTAAATGTGGAAAACTGTGTGAAGAACAACTGCCAAGGACAAAACCTGAATTGTATCTAGCGAGTCAAACGTGTATCTTACATTGTGTATTATTGCTACACAAAGTGCAAAATATGTAATCTATATTTAGATTATATATGCGTTTATCTGTTTAAAGTGCCACACATTACCGGCATAAAACCAAAGAAAGATTTTGATTGTTTATGGTGTCAATTGTTTACCTTGCATTTGTTGTTGTTTGAGGGACAAATGACGAGGACACACACACTTTGTATTCCTGGACCTTGTAGCCCGTTTGCAATGCATTTATTTTAAGCACTGTTAAGACAATTAAAAAAAAATGTCACACGAGTCTGCATCAGATACCCACATGGTAGGAATTTCATAAAGGCCAGTTTGTCATCTAGGAACAAGGGGTTGAATGGAGAGCCACAACTTAAGTGTTGGGGAAGAGAAAACAGTTGAGCCCCCATATGAACACATTGAGTTTATCACACACACACACACAAACACACTGGAGCTCCATTTTAATGTGTGATGCCAAACACCTAACATGGACAGCCTATCCCCACAAAATGAAGTCTTGGTTTGAAGAAGTATAACATGATGATACAACTTAAGGTCGAAAGACAATATGGCTGTTTGGAGGTGGTACAAAATAAAGGGATCTTAAATAACATACCATGATGTTAATTGCATCAGAAAATCGCTGATAAATCCTACAGAGACACACAGTTTCCTCACCGATGTGTAACAAACAAGCTTCTAACAATCTATAAGCACCGTTCAAGGTTTAGTATGTGCTAAACATCAGTTATAAATTCCCAAATTAATAGTTCCCTCTACTCCAAAATCCAACAGGACAAAAGTCTTATCTCTGTAAAATTAATTAGTTTAAATATTAATTTTCGGTTGCTGATCAAAACAGTTTCTGAATAAAACCAATAAAGAACAGCTTTTAAAAAAAAAGGAACAAAAAATTCTAAAAGAAGATAAAACCAAAAGCAATTTGTTCACATTTCTTAACAAGACGCTAATTTTAAAGACCAAACCAGTGACTTGGCATCAAATTCAAGAAAAACTAAAAATATGTTTTAAAATGGTAGGAATTTTATACTGGGATGTGAAACATGCACAAACCTCTGAAGCTGATCACAACATGAGATTAAGACCCTGTCACATAAGTGACATTACACAATGCATCCGAGTCCATCTACCGTTACAAGGTCACTTTCAAAAAACACTTTCAACAGCTGTTATAAGGTCCACCATTGTTTATACAATATACATCAACAGCATGGGCTATTAGTACTGCAACAAGACTGTTTCCATATCAAAATATACAAAAAGGAGATCACCTCTACTCATTCCTTCATCCGCGCAGGGCTTTTGGTTGACTTCCCAGTCATTCACTTTTTTTTTTTAAATAATTTAACAAAAACCATGAGCACACACATATTTGCACTAAAATGTAAACAATCATTCATAACACCCATTTTAAGAAAACAGCCAAGGGAACTAGTTTTCTTTGTGGCATCAACTGTACAACTTTTCAATCCATCAGTGAATGAAATTGTCCTGAAATATTAAAATGTGCGCTAACTTTTATACTGATACTACAACTGGTGCACTTCAGCTAGACAAGGTTTGTGGGGGGGAGGTGGACGGAGGCTCGATTGAACAAGGGTGACAGGGACAACAGTCTGCTTATTGAGGGTAGTCACAAAGCTTTATCTAGAAACCTGTGTTGATCAGTGACACACTTTTTTTTACAGGACAGAAAGGAAGTGGACGTATAGCCCATGCATACATGAAGCTTCTTATGTACAACTACAGTACCTCTGTTTAAATGGTTCCTATGGCTAAACCATGCTTTGGCACCACAGCTAGGCCCTTGAGTATTGAGCTGTTGATATTTTTGTCAAAATATTGATACAAGGCCTTTGTTCTATGAGTCTAATTGTGAGCCACCACAATCTGTATGATGGAGAGTCAGCAAAATCTTCTTGAGTCTATAATACATTATACGTCACAGGACAAACACCGTTGGTTTGTTTTAAAGACCCATACGGAACAGGAAACAACACCCACTACACAGGTATTGAGGTATAAAAAAAATAGGGTACAATATTGACTGATGGTACCTGCCCTTTTCTGCAACTGCTATAAAACCACAATGAAGAGTTGTTCCATGGCTTTTCTTTTGTGCAAGAGTAGCTGAAGCATCCAAGGCATTTTCAGCAACCACAAACAAAGATGAGCATACAAATCAAATTCATAAATAAGTCTCCTTCATTTAAAACAAAAACTATTTACAAAATACATCAGTTCCAGGTCCCACAGTGATTTGAGAACCAAGAGAGAAAACAAGCAACTAGGAAGTGGACGAAGTTGGACAGTCATTATTCTGTTAACAGTGTTGCAGGATGCATATATTACTGAGAAAAATTGATGTTAATTTGCTCTTCCGTCTTCGAGGTGATGCTTGTGATGATTTTTGACTTGGTCACAGTTTTCTGGACACATGCAAGGCCTTCAAATGTAAGTTACAGTAGCAGGTCAAAGACTCTTCTTCACTAATCAGCCTCACTGACACTCTTCATTGTACTGTTTTCCTGGCAAAGCGATACAACTAAAACCCTCCTTTGTCTTTTGACTTGGCTTTCTGCGGTGTTGTTGTACCCTGTGCTCCTCTTCCTTCCAGTTTCACAGCAGATTGTGCCTTGTCCGACTTGATCCAGGACGCCTTGAAATCCTTGGGCTGCGTGAGAGGAGGCGTTGGGCTCGGGGTTGCCTCTCTCTCCTCCAAATCGTCGAAACTCACTTCCTGCACGGCCTCCTGCTTCTTAAAGGAATCCCTTCGCTCCGACAGGGCCAGCTTCCTCATCACCACCACCTCGTTGGAGTGGTGGTTGCTGCTGCGGTGTTGTGGCGAGGCGGTGGAGCGGTAGAGCTCGCTGCCTCCGCTGGCTGAGTCCTGGTAGCCTCTCTGCCCTCCGATGAACAAACCCTGACGGCCGTGCTCCCCGACACAGACGAACCCAGTGGCGGTGTCCCCCTCCATGTCCTCCAGCCCCTCCGCCTCAGACAGAGGCACCTCCATGGTGTGGCGGCGGGTGCTGTAGGCCTTCCTCTCAGCATGGTAGCCCCCTGTCATCTTGTCTCCCGTCAGCTTCTCCGCTGACTGCACCCTCTTGAGGAGCGGTGAGCGCGGCGGCTCTGCGCTGCGGGGACGCACAGAGTGGCGGGTGATAGTGGGAGGGGACAACGTCTTTCCATGAAAACCCTGAAGAGACTTGGGGTGATTCGGGAGGCAGGATGGAGAGCACTGCGGAGAGAGGGGCTGAGGAGGCGGGATGCAGGCCAGAGGTGAAGGAGGGATGCTGCTGGTGGACTTGCAGCGGCCAGCTTTGGTGTACCGACCCAACACATGTAGGGAACTGGGGCGGGGCTGTGGGACAGGAGAGTTAGGGGAGCTGGAACACGGAGAGGAACTTGAATCTGCCGAAATAAATAAATAAAACAGCTTAGGATGAGTATATTTTTCACAACACACAAAGTGATTGACAGCTTCCTTTTAAGATAAGATAAGATAAAACTTTATTTATCCCTTTGGGGAAATTCAGGCGTTTATGGCAGCAACAGGGTCAGAGTTAAAAAAACAGGATTCAGACAAGGTAAAAATAAAGACAAAATAGAATAAAAAATAATAATACAAAATGTTTGTAAAATAAAGTGATAAAGTAACTGTTGAAAGAAGGTATCACAGTAAAATGTTGAGCATTTGAATGAAGATATATTTACAGAAGTGTGCAGATTAAGGATGCAAGTGTGGGGGATGACCTCACTCACCTCCGGAGTAATCGGGAGCAGGGGAGCGACACGGTGTGGATGGCCCAGGAGAGAGGCTCTGTGTGGGGGAGCCGGAGAGGCTGTCGCTGGACGACTGGTGGAAACCCGAAGAGAAGCTACGACTGCTCTGCATGGGCGGAGGAGGCGTTTGCTTAGACAGCTTCTTCAAGATGCTACGTCGTCGGCTGCACAGAGGAGAGAGGTGTCAGGTTTGTTTTGTAAATAATATTGTTTTTTGTATGCCTGTTAAGGAAAAAAGTGTCTCTTATGAGGCAAAAGGCCGACCAAAATGTAAAAGAAGGACTTTAAGAATGGAGTCATTGTAAGTTGTCAATCTGAAATCTGATACTAAGCTTCAGACATGAGTTCTATATGTCAAGCATCAAGTCACGTACCTGTCCTGTCCATCCTTCTTCTTGCTCTTCTTGCTGCGTCGGGCCATCTTGGCCTTGTAGCTGGATTTCCTGGCAGGGCCCACCTTGATGGAAGTGTTCTCCAGAGCGGTAGTCTGCAGAGTCACCCTGTTGCCACTCTGTTAAAAAGACATTAACATAATCTATAAGGCATCTCTCTTAGGAGCCACAAAATGATATGCTATCACAGAATGATTTAGCAGCAAAACATTTAATTTAAAACACAATGTAATGATCAAAATATACAACACTGTTTCATAATTGTATAAATGAATCATGAATTATCATACCTTCAGCAGCAGCTCCACGACCTCAGTGTGGACGAGTCCTTGGACCGACTCCCCGTTGACATGAGTGATGAGGTCACCGGCCCTCAACCCTGCCTCGTGCGCAGGACTGCCTTCCTCAACACACTGTGGACACAAACACACACAAAAGATTAAAATGACTGCTCAAGCAACCATCAGCTGTAACCATGACTACACCTACTTCACCTATGCAATTATCACAACCAATGTATTTATCAGGGAGAAAAACATGTAACATGTTTAATCAATCAATTACACTTTAAATTGGTTGGTTTCACTAAAGATTAGCACGGCTACACCTGAGAAGACACGTACCCAGACCATGTGGTGAACGGTGTAGACGTCACTGTCCCCCATGTAGACTCTGATAGCTCGTAACGCAAAGCCGAACCTCTTCCCAGAGCTGTGGATGACCACAGGGGGCCGGAGGCAGCTGACGTTGACAGAGAGGTCCCTGCTGGGGGATGAGTCCCTGGACGAGGGGTTGGACGACAGGGACAGGGACGATTTGGGGCTTGTGGGAGGACCTCCAGAGTCATCTAGATCAGGAGGAACAGATGATTAGAAAGCTCATCAGATGAGTGCTTATGGATGGATATTTTTCCTACATTTTGCATTAGATAAAACTGCTATAACAAAAATACAATAATATTGCTTAAAGGTGGGCTGTTATTCTGCTACGTGTGGTTTTTGGATACAGTATCATAACTAGTCAGGTGACAATCTTCTTATCTTGGCCCCAAAGTATTTGTATTTATGATTTGTGTTTACTGCACAAGTTACACAGCATCAGGCTGTAGAGGGCACTGTAAACACATGCATTGAGATTACAGTTCTGCCTATAAAATATAACAAAATATTACTATGGCTGGAAATTGACTAAGCAACTGAATCTATTCCAACATGTACATTTTATTTTATAGACAGTATTATAATCCTGTATACCTGGGGTGATGATGAGGGACAGGCCAGAGACAGATGCAGACTTGGGGACTTTTCCAGCGGGGGATCTGGGTTTCTCTGGGGTCTCCAGCTGGTGGGCGATGCGCCGGGACGCCCCTCTGCGGAAGGACGGCCTGGTGCCTGTGCTGTTGCTCCGGAGCCGAATGCGCTGCAGGTTGGAAACCAACCCATCTAGGATAAGGACATATTGAGTGTGAGTTATGATGCTTCATTAATGCTAAATAACAGGAGAGGAGAATACAGTCTTTACCTATCTTACCTTCTTCCTCGGCCGAGATGGCGAAGCGGGGCATGATGTCGAGGCTCTGGGTGCTGTTCATCACCAGCGGGCTCGCACTGCGCTCTGACTGGGAGGAGCTAGAGGAAGCACGAGGTCGCAGACTGCAAGGAACATACAGTGGAAAGAGGATTTTAGGAAAACTTGTCTATTTACGTAGAACAATGATGTCGCAGCAATGTTCTTCCTATGAAAAGCTATAGAGCAATTACATTTTTTTTATCAATGATCCAGATTTACCGCTTATTAAGTGTAAATTGCATTACCATATGTTTGGACGAATTAGGGCTGGTATGTTTCTTGTATGTTTACATTCATCTTTTCACCTGTATCTACTTGTCTTTCATCCTTTTTTTATAACTAATGCTGTTGAAGTATTGTGATTTTAAGGGTGTCCATTATCATCTGGCCGGGGACAACATCTGGAAATTAGCAACGTTGGCTAAAGCTGCCCCATTTACCGTTTTGTTTTTGTGACGGTTGATTAATGGGGACTGTCCACGACACTATAAACAAATAAACTAAACTAAACTAAATCTTGAGGAAAAAGACTACATTGTAGTCACCACTCATTCTATAAATAGAACTGTTTCACTGCTGAAGCTTCGTAACTTTGTCAGTATATGTGAGGTTACTCTATTAGGGGACACATACAATTTCATATGAAAGGTATCAAACGTACGTACCCAAAATGTCCTATTAATGAATTTATAATCCTACATGTTTTAAATCTCAGAAAAAAATTGCTAATTTGCTAAATAAAATGCTTCATATATAAGAAGAGAGAATATTAAGATAAGATAAGATGGAACTTTATTACCCCGTGGGGAAATTCAGGCGTTTATAGCAGCAACAAGATCAGAGTGAAAAACAGGATTCGCACAAGGTAAAAATAAAGATAAAATAGAATCAAACTCAAAAATAATAATACACCTCAATCTCACATTTCCTCTAAAATGGTAAGCCATCAAGGTGAGAACGAGTTCTGGCTTCAATCCTTTCCCCTCATAATAAGGACATCCCTCTCTCCCGGTTCAAGTTCTCACCTCCCCCTGGGTCCATCTGTCCGCCTGTCTCCACTGGCCAAGTGTTTGTTTCCATCGCATGGGGAGAGGCCTCCCCTGCCCTCCCAGCGCTCCTCCTTCTCCTCGCTCTGGCTGCGCTCTGACGACGACAGGCTCTGGTTGGACGGCGTGGAGGTGGACAGATGCTCCGAGCTGCTGTACACCTGGAGCATTAGAGGAAATGGGTCACATTGATGTTTAAAAAGATATCTGGACTGCTTAATCAGTAGGTTATCACCAATGTTTCTAAGATATATCTTTTAATGGTACGTGTATTTATTATTGATATATATTTATTAAAAAATAACTTGAAAAGGAATTTAATTTGCCCTAAAAGACTCAAACACTTCACAGATATTCATGTAAATGTACATTTCCACAAATCTTGTATTAATGCTTGGCTTCAAACCTTTATGAAACGGTTTCTTACATTTTAACTCTACACAAAATGAATAATTTGTGACATAGTCAGGGCAGTACCTTGCTGAAGCGGTGAGCCACAGAGGAGAACTGTCGGAGCTCTAGAGATGATTCATCATCGTTGGTTTCATCGTCATCATCCGAGTCCAGGTGACAGTAACGCTCCGATCGAGCTATAAGAAACACAATGACAGTGCATTAATAATAATAAACATTCTTACTACAATTGCCATCACTATAAAATCTGCTGGTCCAGTGTGTTTCTGTGTTTTTAACAAAGGTGTGTCTCTGTGTGCAGAAAGTGTTCCATATTTGTATTGTAGTTAGCTCAGTCCATATTAGATCATGAAAGGCACCGTGTGTTTATCCGTCCATAAATCTGACTGGTCTGTAACGTACTGTCAAAGTAACTAGTGTCGTCCTCAGTCTCTAGTTGGGGTATGAATTCAGCTTTCTGTCTCAGGAGGCCATTCCAGTCCAGACCGTGGAAGAACATGTGCATCTTCACCTCAGTGGTTCCACCTGGAGAAAAAAATAAATAAAAATCAGACAAACAGGTATGCTTTCATATCTGCACACCTTCGACTTGGTTTACAGTTAATCCCCAGCTACTCCGTGTCTCCTTTGATATCCTTACCTCTCCCTGTTGCCTTATTAACACTCATTAGGCACACAGCTTTGATGTAATGGAAAAGTTCCATGTTGATGGAACGTTTCTATCAGACACAGCCCTAAAGATAACTGCCACCAATTGCTAAATGTGATCTTTCAAAAATATTCCTTGACATAACACTTTCCTAAACATCTCTCTCCCGTGAAATCCCCCGTGTCATGGCTGCCCTGACAAATTGTAGCAGACCTAGTGTAACCTGGGACCTGTGCCTCCGTGTCTCAAAGGAACATAAAGTAGTTTTACATTCTGTTCTTGAATATATCATTTTCTATTTACGTGTACTGTATTTAGACTTCTTGCACTATTGTCTTTTGTTGCTTTTTTTTAATTGAATTTTTGAATTTGTTTTATTGTTTATGTCTTATATAACTATGTTCTATACATATACATTGTCAGAGGACCTATTCTACACTGCAGCTTAAGTGCATATGACACTAAAACCTTTGAATTGAATTGAATTAAGAGTGTTGTGTACCCACTTCTCATCAGTTACACCCCCACCAACCTGTTCCCAGTCGATCCAGAGGGCTCTGTCTCAGCAGTCTGGTGATCAGGTCCTGGGCATCAGCCGGCAGAGAGTCCTCCCCCTCAGGCCAGATGATGTCGTCTGGACAAAGAAGAACATACAATCAACCAATGAAGGGATTTAATCACATCAAAACACAACATAAACGTTAAATGTTGGTCAATATCTATCTATGAGTGGAAAGGTTGTATGTGATGACTGAGGAGAATTGCACTAACCGTTGACCACCTGACCAAAAAGCTGTTCAGGTGTTTCTCCAAAGAAAGGCACACAGCCCACTAAGAACTCATAAAGGATGATGCCCATAGCCCACCAGTCTACTGGCTTGCCATATCCCTGCCTCAGGATCACCTCTGGAGCAATGTACTCAGGAGTACCACACACCTGATGAGAGGAAAGGAAGATGTAAGAGACAGAAAATATTGATGTTGGTTTGAGATCGTTAAAGATGAGATGAAGAGATGAGAAGAGAAGAGACAGACCTGTTTGTCGATGAACTCCCTGGTATCCTTTTCGATATGTCCTTCATATAAGTTGGTGGTCATGTTCATTAAACCGATCTTTGACAGCCCAAAGTCTGTCAGCTTAATGTGTCCCATGGAGGTGATTAACAAACTACAAAAGAAGGAAACAGAACACATCAAACGCTTACCCAAAACTTAGATTTAGACTGGGTAAAAAAAGTATCAAAGGCTGAACGCTTCTGTGACTACTTCAAAAAGATTGCCAGGCTCTAATGGCAAGTCTAAAAATGATTAAAGCTTACTTTGGAGCTACCTCAGAGCCGAGAGAGAAAGAAGTTAAATGAGGACTTACTTGTCTGGTTTGAGGTCTCTGTGTACAACCCCGTAGTTGTGAAGATACTCCAAAGCCAAGACAGTCTCAGCAAAATACAGCCGAGTCATGTCCACAGGCAGAGGACCGATGTTCTTCAACAGGTTGGCACAATCCCCACCTAAAGTACAAAGACAGACAGTCAGATGCTTTGTTTGGGCTTATAGTGGGCAAAGAATAACATTCGTCTTTAAAGACATGATATGTATGAGTGGATCATTCTAACCGTACCTTCCACATACTCCATGACCATGCAGAGGTGCCTCCGTGTCTCAAAGGAGCAGAACATAGAAACCACAAATGGGTTTTCAGCAAAGGTGAGGATGTCTCGCTCCACAAACACCTGCTGGATTTGATTCCTCAGCATCAAGTTCTGCCGGTTGATCTTCTTCATGGCAAACCGTTGACGGGTCTCCTTGTGGCGCACCAGAAAAACAGTCCTGCATGACAGGGGAACAGATGGAAGAGGACAACATGAAATTAAACACATAACAAATCAAATTGTACAGATTTTTTGTTGGCACTAACTAGTAGTATTGAAATAAGTTTCTTTGTTATTTTCCACTTAATCCAAATTAGATTTTGGAACATAAGGCCCAGTTTGTTAATGCATTTCCATTAAGATCCAGTATAAAAACAATTAATGCAAAATAATGGCTGATGGCAAATGAAACGACTCGATTGATGGGACAAGAGGAAAAATAATAAAATAATAATAATTCCCATTGGGTAGTCCCTACACTGTCCGTGCTCTGACCCAAACTACAACACATCCTCTTTTTAGTTTCATTTCCACTTTTATTGGGCTCTCTGCGGTGTCAACAAAGAATCTGAGCTAGTCGGAAACAAAGACGTCTGTCTTACTCACCCATAGGCGCCATTGCTAATGAGCTTGATGGTCTCAAAGTCGCTCTCCAGTGGTTTCCTACGAGGAGGGGTGCAGGCTGCTCGGCCCTGAATCATACAAAAAGGAAACGGAAGGAAAAAAACAGGAACTAAGTTGCTGCATTGCTCATGGAAAGCATAAATACATGCACTTCAGGACTGCATTGTGATCATATTAAGAGTTTTCTTTCCCGAAAGAGCTCTTTATATCATTTAAATGGTCGCAGCAACCCCTTGAGTGTTGTTTGTACATTTCTATTTTGCCTTTCAAACTAAGAATCACTTCATATTTCATTATAACTACTTATTTACCATCTAATATAAGCTTTACCTGCATATGTGTACCATCTCCTGTGTCGTCAGACTCTCTGTTGGCTCTGTGGCTCGGACTGGTCTGCTCCAGGTGGACCATCTCTGAAACAGCAGCAGACACACAAAACTCCTTTTTAGATTAAAGTGGACCTATCATGCTATATTTGAATCATATATTGTAGGGCCATACCTATATAAAAACATGTCTGAACAGATCATGCATTTTAGCCATGCCTCATTTCGCTCTATTTGCTGTATTCTAGCCCTGTCTTCACACGGGCTGATTCTGTGGCAAATGAGCTGCAGCTGACCTCGCCCCCCTCCTTTGCAGGGGGGCGAGGTCAGCTGCAGCGTCATGTTACCATGCTGTTACCATGCCACGCAACCTCTCATTCACCTGATAGGTGGAGAGTTGCCCATATAGGCGGAGCACCCCGTTTCTGACAAGAACAATTTCAAATCTGGATCAGTCTGTATCAGCTCCGTTGCAGCCCCGTTTTTAGAGATTTGGGTATGGAGGAAAATAGAAAGGGTTGTGTTTTCTGACTTGGTGAGTTCCCTGGAACACCGGGGACACATATTCATGTATAAAAGATGTACAAAAAAGTGCATTTTGCATGATAGGTCCCCTTTAAATAAAAATCAGTGAGAGCGATGAGAGGTTATTCAACTGTTTGCGAATGATAGTAACCGACTAATGATGCTTAACGAAATTACAATTGTCACCGTTTCCAAATCACATTTATACATGATTAGGTTATAATGTCTCTGCAAACTCATTAAAGGTTTTCCAATTCGGTTGAATTACGCTCCACTCAGCTGAATATCATACAAAGCAATACTGACGTGTCGTTCTGCAGAGGGAGTACTTTCAATGGTCAATTACAGAGACTAAATGCACAGCCTTTTTAACTGAACAATGAAAGACTTAGCAAAACTAAGGCAGGATCTAATACTAGGGGGAAATCCACAT